AAAAAATAGAAATAAAAATAAAATAAAAACTAGGACAAACTTTGTTTGATACCAAGCAGTTCCGCTCTTGTTCTTCAAAATAATACAGACAAAAGTTTGCGGGGAAGGTGAAAGTTCAGTACTGCTTGATCGAAAAAAGTTCAAAAGTTCACTTTCTGCTGAGTAGACTTAACGATGTCTATAAAGATATTGTTCACTTTGGTCTGTGAATAAAGGCTTTGTTTCAGTGTTTGAAAGTTGTTTCCCTGAGTAGTGCTGGTCTTAGCTACAGGTGATGGGGTCGGTTTACGGAGCTGGACTATTAATACCAGCATGGTTGCTAGAGATTAGCGTACCACGAGCCTCACTCATGGTTCGTGGGTTTCGATGCCAAGCATTGTTGGGGTTGTTAGAGGACGAAACTGTTCTCTTAGCGGTCCTGTGATAGCGATCGGCTGATCGTAAGCATCAAAACTTCAGGAATGACAATTCCGAAAAGAAGTAGACAACAAAATTCAAAACGAAATAAACTGAGCAAAGTAACCCATTTAGCAACATTCATATACATGGTCAGTTCTATATTTGAAGGCTCAGCCAAGCTAAGACACCATAGTTTAGGGGTAATAAGTCTATAACGTCCAGGCGAATAGAAGTGTCACGTTTTCATTTTCTTAATAGAGAGATTAGGAGTCACGTTTACGGCAAACGGCAAACAGCAAACGTCAGATTCATGTTGAAAATTTTCCAGAGAAGAAAATAAGCAGATAAAAACTGTCCAAAACAATTCTTATGGATAAAACTGGCGCGAAACTACTTATTTTTGAGTAGAGGTAATTAACGGTAAACGACAATTAAAGGGAAAACTTGATCACGTGGTACAAATTCACGTTTGCCGTTTGGCGTAAACGTGAACTATTATTACAAAGAATTGGGGAACTTCTTAAGAATCTCCAGGAAAATTTCATTATTTGATTTTAGATTTAAATTAAGATTTCCTCAACGACTTTAGAGATTGAACTGTAGTCCGTTCCATATCGCAATACCAGTTCTTGCCTTTGATTTTTGATCTTTTCAGTCCGAGAGCACTCAACATAATAACGAGGATTTGACATTTAATGCATCAATTATTCCAACGAACTCTTATAGAGTCTAGGCTAAGTGTGAGGTAACGTCTTCTTTCAAAAATTTGTTGTAACAGCTGCCTCTCGCATTTGGATTGTAAGGGTAGAAATAGCCTGCATCCCCACCCGCAGCCCTCATTTACTTACTCGTGAGAATACATGAACTAAATATGATATGTGCAACGACATAAACCGATAGATGATCACAACGTTTAATGCCACGAGCAAGAGGATGGTAGGCCCAAAGAAAAAGAACTAGGGCCTAGTCCCTTGCATAAAACATACTGTTACTAAACGGAAGTCTCTACAGGTAATCGGTTCTTAAAGGTACCAAGAAAAAAAAAATACTGTTCCAGAAAAAATAAAGTAGAAAGTCTTTGGCAAAGTATCAATAAATCTTGGCAACATATAATGTTTATCAAAAGAATCTCTGCACTGGGTCCTAATATGGTATAACAAATAGAATAAATGCAAAAACATGAGCACAAGTAGTAAGTGTGACCTTGAACAAACGAGCTTGTATAAATACTTAAATAGCGAAATAAGAATTTCTATCCATTAAAACGAGCACGTCATATAATTGCACGTCCACTCTTAGTCCGATTGGTCCCGGGATTCTAACTGGTGCAGGGAGGTCCCGAAGTGACACTGACATCCCTGGCAGGACCAGAAACAATGGTGTGAAGTGCCTTAGTGGACTCCGGAGAATCACGAGAGGGTTGAACAACAGGGTCATTAGACTTGGCAATTGCAGGCTCATCTTCGGAGCCAGGGGGAGGAAGCTACTTTCCACACATTCTCAAACGATGTTCTCACAATTTGCATAGAGAATATTAGGTCCTGCTAGTGGATTTTTATATTTATCAAGCGCACTACGTCAAAAACCAAATATCAAAGGTTTTGAGAAGAAACAAAAACATAGCGGTCGAAGGCGGGACTATTTCTCACACTTATATTCTTGGTATTTCGCAAATTTAGTGAATTATTTGTCGCGGTTTAGACATGTGTGGTTTGCTTTTTCCTTAAAACCATTATCTCTTTCGCAGAGTTTTGGTTATGCAACGTATGGCCGATAAGAACCGCCGAAGATTTATGCTATCGAGTAGCGTTTTGCTGAAAACCTAATTAAGGAAAGTTAAGGTTGCTTCAAGGTACAGAGATTTCAACAATAGTCGTCATCTGTTTATTAGGATCTTTTTGACTTCTAACTTTGTATTCAAAGTTTTGACTGATCGTTATAAACGAAGCGGAAGTTAAATGTTATCTATGTCACTGTGGTCAAGGGGTTGAGGTTACCCAGTTAATAAACTCATGATAGTCCATCTACTGCACCTATTCAGAAAATAATTTATTATTTACCAACTATAATTCCCTTGCCATTGAACAGTGTTTTATTGAGACAAGAGCAAACTAAAAAGATGTAAGAGACGTTTAGAGGGAATGCCTCACAGTCTACTTTGGTATCCAAAGTGTTCAGTTCCTTTTAAGTTTTCGATAGTGATGACTCTTATCGTTGGAGGCGTTAAAATTTTTCTAGGTAACTCTGAAATCATGGATCTTTAGGCTGAATTAATTGTTTTTATATGTTTGTTTTGTTTTTTATTTGTTTTTCTTTTTGGAGATTCCGATGAACCAGATCTTTCAAGAAATTGCATCTTACTTATCGCTTCCTTTCCTCTTACTGAGGTCCTTACTCTTTTAAGGTTGACCAGTAAACTTGCTGGATTTACAGTTTTTAAAGGGGAGTTTTAGCAACGACGACGGCGAAGGCAATGAGAACGTCAAAACAGCAATAGGCTTATTAAGCAAAACAACAAGTTTGCACCTGCATCACGCTTTTTTGTAGATTTCTTTGCCGTTGCTGCACGACTACGATGTGAAGATGTCTTAATTCACGTTTTATGGAGGACGTAAACAAGAGACGACGAAATTTTCTTTCTCTTTCTACACTCGAGTGCGGTCCCCAAGAAATCGAAGTGGGAAACAAAGAATTATGGGGGCACCCGGAATAAGAGGAGAAAAAGGAGTGAAAGGTGCTATTGGTTCACCGGGTATTCCAGGAATGAAAGGCGAACCGGGAGAATTCATTTCTGCTCCAAAAGTGACAATTTCGTCTTCTCATCTGACAGTGAACGAAAGCGACGCTGTTGACTTACTGTGTTCTGCATCGGGCAACCCCACTCCGACACTGGTTTGGTACCAGATTAACGAAACATTACCTAGCAACCTAACGAAAGTATCGTCTAATGGTATAATGAGGATTGCTGAAATGCAACTTGTGGATGCCGGGAAATGCAAGTGCGTTGCGCAAAATGTTCTTGGAAGAGACGAGACATTTGCGAGTATTATCGTACAAAGTGAGTTTACTTAATCGTTAATTCATTTTATTGTCGTTAACGCTTTGCTATCATACTTTAAACAGAACACAATTTCAATATGTTTTTTTTTTTTTAACTGAAAAAGCACAACCGGATGCAATCTTTTGCATGCATGATATTAGAAACAAAGGGAAGTTGCCTATTGCTTCTGATTTTAGTTTATTATAAATATTTTTGGTGCGGTCTTAATACTTTTGTTCGAGCATTCCAGTCCTAGTTCAATGGTTTTCTGTTTGTGTGTTTGTTTGATGGTTGGTTGTCCTCCTTCCCCTTACTCCCATGCACTTGATCCCTTTGCTTTGCGAGTCTCGTTAGCAAATCCGATAGGGAGAAAGTTTGTTGTTTTATTTTTTTAAGGTCAACCCAAAGTTTCATTACCGTTTGGGCCATATCACGTTACCAGTCTGTCACGTGACAGGATTTCCCCCACCGAAAATCATCTGGCGTAAATTGCACGACAATTTCATGCAATCTAGAGCTTTTGTTAAACGTGGACAGTTTTCAACAATAACCGTTCACAAAAAAGATTCTGGTTTGTACAAATGTCAAGCTTCAAATCATTTGGGATATGCTTTCGCTGTTACACAACTAAACGTTATTGAACTACCCTACTTTACTGTGAGGCCGCCAGCACAGTTTGCAGTAAACGAAAACATGACATTATCTATCAGCTGCCAGGCAGATGGCTACCCCACACCAACAGTCACGTGGTTGAAAGGGAACAGTCAGCTGCCAAGTGGAAGATCTATGGTCAGTGATGATGGAACTCTAACGATCTGGGACACTAAAGAGAGAGACTCGGGGACTTACAACTGCGTGGGGTCGTCGGGTAAATTTTTTCGAAAGGCAGTTGCTTCTATGAAGCTAACTGTTAAAGGAGGTAAGGTAATTACTCATTTAATCGTAACTAGAATTACTAAACTCGTTTAAAATATTCTTTAACAGATTCTAGTTTTATCAAGTGATACTACTACTACTACTACTACTACTACTACTACTACTACTACTACTACTACTACTGCTGCTGCTGCTGCTGCTGCTGCTGCTGCGACGACGACGACGACGACGACGACGACGACGACGACTACTACTGATGATGATGATGATGATGATGTTTGGAGTCCTTGTGGCCACTCCCTTGAACATGTTGTCCACGGGCACTCTCAAATCTTTTTTCTCAGCTTACAAAAACTGTGCTGCACTTTACAAAGCAGGTCAACGAACAAGTGGTGTTTACCGTGTCAGTCCAGATGACGCCGGTTTCTTTGATGTGTACTGTGACCAAACAACAGCAGGTGGGGGATGTGCAGTGTTTCAGAAAAGACTTGATGGTTCAGTTGAGTTTGATCGCGTTTGGAACGACTATAAACAAGGGTTCGGGAATCTGAGCACAGAGTTTTGGCTTGGACTGGATAAGATTCACCGTCTGACAAAAGGAACAAGCAAGCTTCGGGTGGATCTCGAAGATTTCAACGGACAAACAGCTTACGCCGAGTACGACTTGTTTGAAGTTGCTGCTAAAGGAAATAAATACAAGCTGACTCTTGGTACATATACGGGTGAGTGCTTCCTTCCTCCTTCCTTCTTTCCTTCCTTCCTTCCTTCCTTCCTTCCTTCCTTCCTTCCTTCCTTCCTTCCTTCCTTCTTTTCTTCCTTCCTTCTTTCCTTCCTTCTTCCCTTCCTTCTTTCCTTCCTTCCTTCCTTCTTTTCTTCCTTCCTTCCTTCCTTCCTTCCTTCTTTCCTTCCTTCCTTCCTTCCTTCCTTCCTTCCTTCTTTCCTTCCTTCCTTCCTTCCTTCCTTCCTTACTTCCTTCCTTTTTTCCTTCCTTCCTTCCTTCTTTCCTTCCTCCCTCCCTTGCTTCCTTCCTTTCTTCCTTCCTTCCATCCTTTCTTCCTTGTACAATTGTTGTATTCCTCCCTCCAAAAGCAGTTCCCAAATTTCTTATTATGTTTAGCTACTTGTTATTACCACAGTATTTCCCCTGGAAACGCCACAGAATTTTTAGTCATTATATTAAAAGGGCCGGGTGCCTCTGATTTTCCAGAGATGGTTTAAGGCGTGTCATCTGGTTGAGATATTTTGAGATATGATTTTTCTCTTTTGTAGGAACTGCTGGGGATTCCTTTACGTATAATAATGGTATGGCGTTCTCCGCTAAAGATCGAAGCAATGATAAAAGTGGCATTAATTGTGCCGCATATTGGAATGGAGGCTGGTGGTTCAATTCCTGTCACGACGCCTTTCTGAACGGCTTCTATTATCATGGCTCACACTCCAATGCCTGGGGAGGTGTGATATGGTATAAATGGAAGGGTGCCAGGTACTCTGCCAAACGTGCGGAGATGAAAATTAAACCAGTTAATGCCTAAAAGGTAGTCGACATACATTTCCTCACCAAACCTGACTTTGGTCTTCGCAATAGTAGGTTAACAATTTTTGGTTAATGAGACAGTTTAACTTTCTTTGATTTTTGTTAGATTCATTGCAGATTTAAAGCTTACACCAAAATTTTATTATTATTATTATTATTTTTCATTTTTTTTTTGTATGGTCTCTGTTACCTCAAATTAAATGAGCATCGTGTGGCTTTTGGTTTCATATGCAAAGTGGCGTAACATGTATCGTTGATGATTCGCGATTGTGTAGTAAACTTCCCAATGACGCGGACTCCTTTGAATATCACGGCGTATACATAGGCTGTGATCTATCGTTGCATGGGATATCATATGAAGTAATTATTTACGAAATAATATATCTTAGGGTCAAAAACTCTAGAATGAGGATCTTTTATTTTTTTTTTTACAAGCAAACCGTATTGTCCATTTTGGATTATGGTTGCATGGCCTGCTTAGACTTTGCCGTAAAGAGGATTGAACGCTGGAATGAATAAAATCGGTCTATGCATGGTAAATTTTAAATACCAATTTAGGAAAACGTGCTCCAAAGAAATGTGACTTGAGTTGTTCTTTTTACGCTGGGTAATCGTAGGCGTTTTTCGTGCTTTTTAAATTTAAAATCTGCTGTACATCTGTATATATGTTAATTGTATTTCCTCCAGAGTTAAAACAAACATTGAAACAAATGTTGAACTACAGCTTGTTTATAAACTAGGAATTATTTTGAGTGCATATAATAAAACAGTTGATACACCATCCTTGTTCTTTTTAATGATAGCTTATATGTATTTAGTATATACTAAAATAATGGATAGTGTTTTTTGCGTTCTCTGATTGGCTACTCAATCAGTGAATATCCTGCACTATTCACTGATTCACCTCCAGTTCCTCCGAGCGAGCGACGCCAAACTCGCGTAAGTTGCGAGCAAAATGCCTTCCCGGTTTGCTGCCGTAACAAACAAAGAAATTTCACAACTAATCAAGCAAGCTGTTCCCGAAATACACGAAGAAGGTCACGAAGTTCGGTTTTGAAGTTTTAAAGCTTTGTCTTTTTGACTTGAATTTATCGATAAAACCGGTGAAAAGGTTTTTTGTTGGATTAAGCTTCAGTCTTGCGTTACTTTATTTAGTTGACAGGTTCATAAACAAGCTTAACACTAAATTTAATAATCTTTTTTACAGAATGATTTTAAATACCAAAAGAATCCAAAACTCCTTTTGAAGAAATTTCTCCGCAAGAACTAAACAAATGCCTTCAAAAGTTTTATTTGTCGGGAAGAAAAAGCGACGACGGCGGCCGTTCGGTCATTGCGCGCCAAAATTATAATAGTTAGCAACAGTAAATGAGTTAAGAACGATCATTTTTGTGCTCAATTATCTCACTGCTTTAGTATATACTAAAACAATTATTCACCTCGGTGNTAAAATCTGCTGTACATCTGTATATATGTTAATTGTATTTCCTCCAGAGTTAAAACAAACATTGAAACAAATGTTGAACTACAGCTTGTTTATAAACTAGGAATTATTTTGAGTGCATATAATAAAACAGTTGATACACCATCCTTGTTCTTTTTAATGATAGCTTATATGTATTTAGTATATACTAAAATAATGGATAGTGTTTTTTGCGTTCTCTGATTGGCTACTCAATCAGTGAATATCCTGCACTATTCACTGATTCACCTCCAGTTCCTCCGAGCGAGCGACGCCAAACTCGCGTAAGTTGCGAGCAAAATGCCTTCCCGGTTTGCTGCCGTAACAAACAAAGAAATTTCACAACTAATCAAGCAAGCTGTTCCCGAAATACACGAAGAAGGTCACGAAGTTCGGTTTTGAAGTTTTAAAGCTTTGTCTTTTTGACTTGAATTTATCGATAAAACCGGTGAAAAGGTTTTTTGTTGGATTAAGCTTCAGTCTTGCGTTACTTTATTTAGTTGACAGGTTCATAAACAAGCTTAACACTAAATTTAATAATCTTTTTTACAGAATGATTTTAAATACCAAAAGAATCCAAAACTCCTTTTGAAGAAATTTCTCCGCAAGAACTAAACAAATGCCTTCAAAAGTTTTATTTGTCGGGAAGAAAAAGCGACGACGGCGGCCGTTCGGTCATTGCGCGCCAAAATTATAATAGTTAGCAACAGTAAATGAGTTAAGAACGATCATTTTTGTGCTCAATTATCTCACTGCTTTAGTATATACTAAAACAATTATTCACCTCGGTGTCGGTGTCTAGTTTTGGGTATTTACCTTGCCGCTTCCCGGCCTCGGTAAATTATCCACCATTAGCTACCTCCACTTTGGTGAATAATTGTTATATATTTTGATATGAATTTTTTCATCCCCTTTTTAGATAATCATATCTTAAAGTGTATAGGTTCTTTTACATATCTGAATTTTTCATTTTAATGCTACACCTTGTTTGACACCAGCTTTCGTTTTTTCTGAGAAATGAACCATTTTGTATCCGGGTTAATTGAAGTTATCCTTCACAGTCACGTAGCCGGGAATTCTTGAGGGGTGGTGCGATCCAACGAGGAGACTGACCAAACCAGGCCGGTGACTTAAGTCTCTAGATAGGACGTCGGAGACTGTATTTCGGGCGTTTTGAAAAACACGAGTATTTCTCAAACTTTTAACCTTCAAAAGATATTTTTTTCCAAGAGACTACTTTATTTTACACTTTTGAAAGGAAGGAAAAGAAAGTTCTGAATTTGTATTATTCGGTACGTTTGCATCATCATGATCATACAATAGTGTGCCAAGCTCAAGCATACTTGGGTGCAGAAACAGATTAATGTATCTTAGATAGTGGATTTGCTTAAGGGCAGGGAAAACTGCTTTTTGGCAACAGAAAACAGGGTTACACAAAAGGGCTACACAAAAAAAGGAACAATGTGTACCTTCATGTATTTCAAGCACAAGAGGATCCGTGATCCACCGGTTGTGATTGGCTGTGAAGCAGCCAATTGGAAATCAAGAACTTCCGATCCTTGATACAGCCTAGTAATTGCGTAAGGTCGATCAACATTAAGCCAGTCGGAACGATTGTGCTATTCCCGTCACAAAAAAAAAAAAAAAAGTTAAATGTTATGTTGATTCCTAGTAACAACTGCAAAGGGAGAAACATCATAGCGCCCCAGCCCTAAGACTTGCATTCACTTCTAATATGAAAGGGCTTGGAGTTGACTGATGCAAGCAACGCTCCTGCTGACCGCGAGTGATTTTTATACTACATGACGATAGTAGCTTTAATCAGGGATATATACATAACTTGCACGCAACGGTAAAGAACTGGATTGAGCATGTCAAAACTACACCAGGGAACCTCTTTCTCACTGTTAAAATAATAATTCATATCCAACACTTTGGAGGAAACTATGGGAACAAACCCTAATGGTTAACGACCCACTTTTGAAAATAAGAAAGGAAAGTACTTACATCTTCAGAAGGCAATCAGAGGTCAATTGTTTTATAGAGCAAAGATATGATAAGAACTACAGGCAGCAATTGTACAGTAAAAGACCACATAACCTTCTAGCGAAAGAAAAACGACTAGAAAACATTTTCTCAATCCGCACTACGAATCCTCCAAAAAAGACCTTACATGCACGACAAAATGAAAGAGTAAGCGACGAATCAGAAAGGGGTAAATGCCTTGTAGGCACTCCAAATCCCCTTTTTTCATACTTTAACACGAAGGATAAACAGGTTTTGTGGAAAGCGTGAGTCAGGGCTTGTCAACTCCTTACAGTATTTTCAGTTTTACTACACATTCAGTGAACTACAATTGAAACATACTATTAATTCACTTTCTTTTAAATGGTTGATCAAGAAAGGGAGGACGTCTGGGGCCTGTAGAGGGGTGTGAGCGCACCTGTCATATTTCGCCACACCCTACGGGCCTGATTTACCCATTCATTCATTACACAAGCAATTCAACGGCATTTTCAACTACAGGCTTTCAATAATTAAATCTTACTGAGAGCTTAGCATTCCTACTGAGAAGGTTTATCAGACCTTATCAAACGAAATAACTCGCCAGGTTTCTATTGGTTTAATGTGTGAAATTCTCGATAACAATCTAAACAGAAAAGTTAAAACAGTCGTCTTATACTGAACACTTTTCCGAAAAATAAATAAATATAAGAAAGGTTTATTTAATCACGCCATTCATGGCCGATAAAATAAATTTCCACACTCGGCAGGAGCAGCTTGGAGCTGGTCAACAAACAAAAGTGTCTACAGACAATTGCAGTCTTAAATATAATGATCCCTGTAGGAGTATGAATATTTATAATTAGCCTCTTTTAGTTCCCCCAACTTCTCTTCATTTGGACTCGCGACGGGGACCCCGGTGCCAACTGAAATCAATTTGCTTCATAAGAATTAGCAGCTATGCTAAAAAAAGTTTGCACTCTTTCTTCTTGTCTAAGAAAAAACGTATGATGGTATCTACAGCTCTGCGTTATTTGGCTGACCAGTTATACGATTTCATAAGAAGACTTTACAGTTTCAAATTCTTACGAAATCCATTGACCAATTGTCTTAGAAGTCCATGTTTCCCTCTATCCTGATGTAACTAATAATAACTTTTATAGAACTGTTTTATTTTGGCGATCGCTATGAAACAAATTTGATGAAGTCCATTTTATCGAACAATATCTGTAAGATTTTACTAAGAAAGTATGTTCCCGATTTCCATTCATTTTGACGGTGAAAACCTAAAGCAGTAACCTATTCAAAGGTTCATACTGTATTTAACCTGAATGGATATTTTATCACAACAGCAAAAATCTGTTAATCAAAATGTTTATTGTTCAAGTCCAATTTATTGCTTTAATTGTAGTGAATGCGACGCAAACCCATAGGGAGACAATAATTAAACGTTTTAAAGCAGTAAAAAAGCCAAAAATCACATATTAACCGTCTTAAAGAAGCCATGAAGCTAAAGATAGCCTCGTTTTGCATTACTCTTACCTTTCTTGCCTTTGTTGGATTTACTAAGCTGCATGCACAGGTCAGAGTTTGCTACTTCATTGGTTTCGCAAGTTCTTTATAAGAACTGAATTTGACTTTCCAAATGTCGTGATTCTTTTACTGAGACACAATTTAGGGAACATGCACTATCTTTCTTTTATTTCAAAATAGGTCGAACGACGAGAGCGGCATGGCATCTATCATGGATATTTCAAGGCGTTTTTGAACTACAGCTTAAATATTTCCCAAGTGTTGGCTTCTTTTGACGTTGTGGATCTTATGGAATGTGCCTTTCGATGCATCACAAATTCAACATGCTTGTCGTTTAATATCGCCATATTACCCTTTGCGAATGCTACTAATTATGCATGTCGTCTGTTGCCTTCAGACAAATACAATCAGTCCAGCAATTTTGCACCGAGTCAGGAATTCCATCACTATGCCATAGTGGTAGGTTATACATGCAGTAAAAAAAACTGTTATGTTATTGAGAGAGTCTTGCTGATGAAGTGAATCAGTGATTTCTATTTTGTTTCATTATTGTAAAAGAAAAGCTTGCCAGTAATACCTTGTCCAACGCCAATCCAATATAAACGTTTCACTTCAATTCAATTTACACTGACTTCGAACAGAAGTAATTCATAAGTGCTCCTACTAACGAAGATCGCTTGCTTCAAGTTGTAAAAAAAAAAACCAAACAAAAAAAAACAAAACAAAACAAAAAACATTCTTTGTTGTTCTGTAATAAAATGGAGTAGTCATTTTTTTCTCGTTTGGGATCAGTTTTAAGTGATTGCCATCCGCTTGCAGGCTGCATTCATTTTGGTGTTTTCATCATACGTTTTACTTTTCCAGACTTAAATAATGCGAAAGGAGTTTCTTGGGCCAAAGGATGAAGCTCCAACAACGAAAGCAATAGCAACGGTAACAACAACATTATCAGCAAATAGCAAGCTTTGTTGATGTTGTTGCTTTTGAATGACAATAAAAGTTTAAAAGTGCAAATTTAAGTAAAAATACATTATGGAGAAAAAAAAATTGTAAACCTCCATTATTTCTTTGAAATAAAAACACCGGTTTTTTCATTAAATAACAATAACTTACTTTTAATTCTAAATTACTATTTTACTGGGTTTAAAACCAAAGTGGGTTATTACCCTCCTCAAGTAAACGAAATTATAGACCCCACACGGGGTAGGGGGGGGGGGGGGAGGGGGGGGGGGGGGAGGGGGTTGATGGAACTGTTATTGTTAAACACTCCTTAGCCGCTTCTATAGACGGGTGGACCATGGGAAGAGGCGTGGTGCTGAGAGAAGGTCGGCATAACAGCTAATACTGACATGAATGTTTAAACCTCATCAAAGTTCGGACTTACTATTGTAAATTTCCTTTCAGAGTCCATGTGAAAACTTTCCATGTAAAAATGGTGGAAGCTGTCGATCATTGTACAAGGAAAACAGCTATGTATGCCACTGTAGTGAAGGTTTCTCAGAAAATCACTGTGATACAGAAGGTAAAAAAGATAATAACTTTCTTGATCTCCCATGAATTCTATCAAGAGCTTCAAAACCTTTGTTCACTATTGTACAATCGCTATTGCCGTCCTTGACAGCTTTGTGTTCCAAAGGGAAACCAGTTGCAGTAGGCTGGAGGACAAATTTCGCTTCGGGATACTTGAGTCTCTTTGCAAATCTCTGTACCCGTCAGACAGTTTGATATGTAAAGTCAGGTGATGAATCCGGTGGGTTTTGATTCTCAGTTACTGAATAAGGTGCGCGGGAGCACTTTACTACTCAATTTTGGCGCGAAATTTCAGCGTTGGTAAATTTTATAATAATTATAAGGAGCTCCATGGGTAATAAAATTTGGTCATCTATGCATCCAAGAGAGTTGTAATTACATGACCTTACGTCCGTCCACCCGTCCGTCCGCTGCACCACAGGGAAATGCTCTTTTTCAATTGACAGCTGTCTGAAACAGGGTGTCCATTTACCAGTATCAAATGACCGTATCACGGTCTCAGATTTCAACTAATCTAGGTCACATTTTTACATTCATATTCACATTCGCTGTTAATAAATCACTGGCTCAAGTCAGCTTTTTTTTTTTGACAAGGTCATCAGATTAGAGCGCTTAAAAGCACCGGTTTTTAAAATTTGTATACGGAACAAAAGGTACAGTGTTGTTATTAAAGAACTGTTTTAAAAACTTACTAATAGGAAGTTTTAAAGTTGAAAGTGAAATGCCTTTTTCCAAGCAGCAAAGTTGATTGAAGAAGACTGCTCCGTACGCTATCTGAGTTGTGTAAATAAAGCAGCCGTTCTTGTGATATTTTGGCGCGTTAAGTTTGTCTGGTGTTGCCGGTTAAATGAACCCTTCCACCGCGCTACTCGCGAAACACCGTACCCGATACCGTACCGAGGAAAATTGTCGCTGTGGTGTAAGCTTTGAGCGACCGCTGATTGCGTCACGCTTAGTTGCCCGGTCATACACATCGCGAGAGAGGAAACTCTGATGGAAAAAGTTTAAACTCAAGAGCGTCGCTATCGGTTTTGGTGAGAACCAAGACCCCAGAAGCATAGAAGGGAAAGACAAATTATCGGATAATCCTTTAACTGCAATTTTTGCGAGTTTAGACCCTTTTATGGGATTTATGGAGCTTCGAATTGGGACGGTCGGCTTGAGATTCGACAGCCTTACCTATTCCTTATTGTAAGAACAACTCGATAAAACTTGATAAAACGGTTTCCAAATGGCTCTAGAAGCGAAAAGATAGTAAAGCACACAACACAAACACAAGTTGAGTCATTTTTATTGATTTTTTTAATGTAATTTAGATCGTATTTTAATAATTTTATACATTCTCCTGTAAATTCTAACAAACTCTCATATAGGGTCTAGGCCGCCTGTGCTGTAAGTACATACATGCGACAACTCCACTATTCCCAGTGCTCGCTCGAGTAAAACTGTCCTTAATTCTGACCAATTACCAGCGAGAGCTCCGTCTGAGGCGTGTGTGCGCGCTTCTCCCTCAGAAGTGGCTTTCTGTGTATGAATGAACACGTGTGCAAGCAGATTTGTCCAGTTTGGCTGCAAGGGCGGGAGGATTGGATTCATCCGTCGTCTAAGCCAGTTGCGGGGGTGGGAGGTGGTGCCAGTTCCGCCCAATGAGTGCAAAAACCTCGTTTTCTGAGGTGCTGCTGTTTCTTGTTTGATGAAACTGAGTTTTGAGAAATTTCGGCGCTAGATTAAATTGTGAATTGTGATTGGCTTATGGTGACTTAAGAGAGTAGACACGACTTAATCACGATAATAAAACCACATTTTTCCCTGTAAGACTCCGTTTTACTTAAAACTTTTTCTATTATAAAAGCAGTAGACCACACTTTCTATGGGCCAACCGGCGTGACAACCCACTTGGGATGTTAGGAGAACACTCGAAAAGCTTGAAATCACTCGCCTTTGGCTCTTGTTTTAAGCTTTTCTCATGTTCTCCCAACGTCCTGCGTGGGTTATTACACCGGTAAACTCGTAGAGAGTGTGGTCTGTGAAAGGTTTGAACCCAGGAGTCATTTCAAAAGTACGTTCTCAAGGCCTGGGTCGAAGGTGTGTTCTGAGCATATGAATGATTGGCAATATCTCTCGCTAGGAGACCTAGAACAAAATAGAATTTTTCCCCAAAGGTAGGTCGTGAGGTTTTCTTGTGCCTTAACGTTTAATTACCAAAAACCAAAAAAAAACCAAAAATTGAAAACGAAGGATATTGGCGAATTGGTGGCGAATTTACGTTTTTGGGATAAATAAATTGTCATTTCTGAAAGAGGATAAACACACGTAACTTTCTACGTTTGGAATGAGTGGACGCGCAGTTTAAAATTAAAGTTTTAAATAAATCAAGATTAAATTTGGGCAATTAAAATCATGTTTTCCCTCATAATTTCTTATTGAGGTGCAATGGACTTTCATTCCAAACGTGAAGTGTTAGAAATATTTGATATGAATTAGAAAAATGTTACTGCTTGATTTCTTTTCTTAAACCGGCCACCAACTGGGCAATAATTTACAATTTTTAGCAAAATGGTCACGTGAACTATTAACACAATATTCATACTTTGAAATGTTAACGACGATGAGTTCTTTACGTGTGCCAAATTTTGACCCAGTGCCATCATCTGTGCCAAAGTAATAGCCAATAATTCCTCAGGTAAACCCCTTAGTCCCAGGCCTTAAACTACTTGAGTTGACTTTGATCGTCCCGGTGAACGTAGTCCTGAATAGGACTGTTGTTGTTGACGCACGGTGACTGACGTTTCGACAACCTGCGCGTTAGTCATCTTCAGAGTCAAAGTGAGTTGTATCACGTCAGTGGATGGTATTATACTCTGGTTATTGATCTGACTGGTCAATTACGTTGCGATGTTATTGGTCGTCTGTCAGTTAAGCCGCGATGTTATTGGCTATGAAGACTCGTAATCAGTAATTGGTGCGTTTCGATCCGTCTATTGTCACAGTTAAACAATCGTCTATTGTTAGTCTAATTGTCAGTTCTCCAGTCGTTCTCTCGTAGTTAGTTTTGCTTGATGTCGTCAATAAGTCGTTTGTACGGCGCTGGTAACTGTTGGCTACGATTCAGTGGCGTTTGTTCTAAGTTAGTAAACCAGCTTTCTAAAGTAAGATGTTGATAGTAGTCTGTAGAATGCGTTATACATGTCGCAGAGTCCTAGTCAATTTGATGTTTCGTCTGTAAATGGTGCTCAGCAGTGTGATCGTTGACGTCACCATTCCTCGTCGCTCGTTTGTGTTCGGTCAGTCGCGTGCTTAGGTTTTTGCCGGTTTCAGCAATGTAAGAAGCCTGGTAGTCGCAGCATTTGATCTTGTATACTGCTCCCCGTCTGTCCTCCGGGTTGTCTTTGTCCTTGACATTAGTAGGCAGTCTCCGTAAGGTGGTTATCGGTTTGTGTGCAACAGGTCACTGACTGTAAGTTTGTAATATACGTGCAATAGTTTCAGAGGTGCCTCTGATGTACGGTATAGTCGCTGTCGTAACAGGGCCAGAGTTGGTCCGAGTGTTGTAATCAGTGTTACTGTGAGTGTTCCGTCTAACAAAGTCCGTGTTGTAATTGTTCTTAAAAAAAAAGAGCGTAATCTATTGGTTAAATTTCGCGTATCCTAAATAATTTGGCAGTTTCTGGAACCTAAAAAGTTTATCCATGAAAACTGGCGCACTTAGTCTTGTAGTACAAGAGAGTGGGTGTAGTTTGTTACCCATGATATAAATAAGTAATCAGATAATTTTACGCGCGTAATGTACAAGTTCTTATTACAATTTCCTGAACTTTCATACACATGCTATCTTTTTTTTAATTGTGAAAGGTTTGAACCCAGGAGTCATTTCAAAAATAGGTTGAGTTTGATCGTCTGGGTGAGCGTAGTTCTGAATAGGACTGTTGCTGTTGACAGTGACTGACGTTTCGACAACCTGTCTGAAGATGACTACCGCACAGGCTTGTCTAAACGTCAGTCACTGTCAACAACAACAGTCCTATTAAGACTACGCTCACCTGGGCGATCAAACTCAACCTACTTTTAAATTCTTATTGTTTTAGAGGCAATTATTCTGACGACCCGGTGTCGAGGTTACTCTAATCGAAGATAGTGCTAACAATAAATTTCCTTTTTTTTTTTTTAGCTTGTCACCCTTTAGGAGTAGAAAGCACGAGTATAATACCAGATTCTGCAATGACAGCAAGCACATACTATAATAGCCATCTGTATCCATACTACGGCCGACTGAATGGACACAGAGGAGTTGGAGCCTGGTGCCCAAAGACTTCTAATGACAGATCAGATTTTCTTCAAGTTGATATGGGCGAGGAGTACTATGTTTGTGCCGTGGCAACACAAGGACATAAGCAAGGAAGCCACTGGGCCAAAAGCTATAAATTACAACTTTCATTACAGGCAACTACATGGGAAACATACAGCATAGACGGTGCTGAAAAGGTGAGAAAATTAATCTTTAAGCTCATCTTTTCCAAGTTCAGTATCTCGTTTCTTTTTGGAGGCTTATTTAACCCTTTAAGCTCTAATATCAAAATATCTCATTTGTGTTCCCTATACTATACATTTTCAATAGAATTATTGGGAATAAGTTTTTGAATTACAATAAGATTCATCTTGTTAGATCATGTCCTCAATTCTCACGATCACTCTGTTCAAAAAAAGAATTGATATTACTAGGAAAAATTTCATGTTGATCACTCTCAGGGCTTAAAGGGTTAAACAAACACATATAAATGTGTCTTGCGCACAACTTGTCTTGTTCATGCTCCTTGATCCTGTTGTAAAGAATTTACCTTTAAATCTCGCCGATGCAAAACTGACTGCATTCACCAGGAAACTTGCAAACCACGTGACACTGTCAAGGAAGACAAGGATTAAGTTCAAATAAGACTTCTGTCATTCTTATAACATCAACGGGGATAGTCGCATAAAAAATGAATAAATAAATAAAAGTATGGATACCACGAACACAGCTACAAGAGAAACCCGCAGACGAAATCAGTACAGCCAAGGGAACAATTCTCCGAAGATGAGAGATTCAAAATGCGCCAAACATAGCGATTGATAACCAACCGATCATAGCGTTGCGTGCATAAAAAGATGACTTAATTTATCGCTGAATGAAGACTGGCAGTAAAGAGTCGAAATGACTTGAATATGCATCACAAGTGATTTCATCGTGAGACAAACGTTAATACTTGTTATTATTATTATTAGCCCGCGTAGCTGGCGGTATTGTGTAGTAGACGAGTGAGATTTGGCGGCGGAGCCGTCACGAGCGGCGAAGCCGCGAGAAATACCACCTGCCAGAGAACCATGATTTTTCGAATGCCGCCCACTTTTGTCACCTTAGCTGATCCCAATTAAATCAGCCAGTCCAAGAGAAACCTGCAATTTGAAACTTCCGATTATTTTCGCGCGAGATAGTTTAGAAATAAGCGTTGACAGGCTAAACACGACTCCTAAGCTCGTGATAATGTGAAACGTGACCTTGTGAGTTTGCTTAAACAGAGGTTTTTTTTTAATTTTCTTGGCTCTCGCGCGAAGGTTACTAGCACTACACAGTGCATGTATCGTTCTAAACTTTGACTGAGGAAATCTTTTTTTGCCACACTAGGCTTAACATTAAAAGGTCATGAAGCTGGTTTGTTACATGCATACTGAGTAACCATTTCCGGTGGTTTATTCTTCTTAAGGTGTTCCTGATAGGATTTGATCTCAGATGCAGTTGTAAGTGTTTTAGTTTTCTTTGACCTTTGTTTCTTACGGCTAAATAAAGACAATTCCAGCGCTGTGAAGTTTAAAGACGCCATTTAGGCAATTTGGTCATCAATTATGCTCTTTTTAAAGGGGAAACCACAATCACTTACGTCTTTTCCAGTTTGCCATCTGCTCCCTTAATTGGGAAATATATGCGAAGGATCATCTAACATGATTGACATATGTATGGCCCTCGACCAATCCGTTTCTAAGCACACTGGTGTGCGGACTATTCAAAATACCGGGGTTTTATGGCAGGCGGTATTTCAACCGCCTCGTCCCTACTCCCTTTTTTTAGAACACGGCTCCGCCGCCAAAACGTTACTCTCGCACCCACACAATACCGCCAGCTACGCAGGCTATATTATTATTAAATTACAGATGTGTGAAATTTGTAAATCTTTCCGATGAGCTCCCTTGGCGTTTTCTCCGACGAATACTCCACGTTCTTATACATGATGAATGACATTGGCATTGACAAAGAGCAGCAACGTTAACTTTATATAATCAAGAAAATTATAAATATAGCTATTTAGAGCAAAATATTACATCTTTTGTCGTAGAAATAGGAATTGGGATAGCCCACACCAAGAGCCATTATGGCTCTTGCCCAGACTTAATGCAATTTTGATTTTCTTTTAATCTTCTTCTTTTTTTGAATAATTCAATCTCAAGCAGAATTTTTAAATTGCCAATACGTAGCGAGATTTACAATATTGTACGTTCAAAAACACAAATAAAATTTCCATTATTACCATTTATTTATTTATTGTAACATTGTTCTGATTTTTGACTAAAATGAAACCCCTTCCAATAAGACAATTGCACGATGACGTCATTTTACTACAACTACCAGAATCCTTTAGTTTGTTTTTTTCTTGTGCAAATTAGAGCTATTGTTCTTTAATCCTCAGCGGGATTGACAGATTTAAATAAGAAAGCAAAAACGAAATGAATTCTGGTAGTTGTAGTCAAATGTCGTCATCGTGAAAATGGCCTATTTTCCGTCTCGTTCTCTAAGACTTTCAAATTATTCAATGTCCAGTAATTAATGATATCATCTTTCTTTAGTATTATTATTTTTCAAGTCATGGTCGTTTTTGTTTCTTTCCTATTTTATTGCAAGTTTTTCTGTAACTATTTCTTTTTGTTCTTCTTCCAAACCGTGACAATAAATTCCTAAGTGAAGTAATCCATATCGTGTGATGGTTATTCTATTGATGTTGTCGTTGTTGTTGATGGTGTATTCTCTCTCATTTGCAGGTGTTTACAGGAAATAGCGACAAAAGTACTGTGGTGAAAAACTCACTCCAGAATAAAATCCAAGCCAGATTTGTTCGGTTTGTTCCAGTAACTTCCCAATCGTACCCTTGTATGAGGGTTGAAATATTTGTGATTGAGTAAGGAAAAGTTCTGGTCCAAATAGTATATGAAGAGAAGCGTGCAAAATGGAATTTGATTGCCTGGGAAAGTGACGTTGGTAGGCGAATTTGTTGAGAGGGCCACCAAGTCTCACCTGTTACATAAACACTGTAGTTATATATCAAGGCGTATTTTCTGTTTGTTTGTTTGTTTTCAGTTTGTGATATAACAGTTGTAATTTAAATTTAGCATCCACGTTCTGTAATTATTGTCTCTAGCGTTGTGTTTTGTGCAGTTATATTTTTTTTGCAATAAAGAGCCAAATACTTCAAATGGACTATTGGTTAAATCTTTTTCCATAGTTTGATCACAGGCAGCCTAAACTTACCTTAAGAAGAAAAAGAGTAAAGTAATAGCGAAGCTCCACGCGCGTGCTTCGCGCGCGCGTGGGCGGAGCCCCATTGCTAAGTAAATCTACCCATCCCAGAAAATTTGGTAATCACGTGACCGTACACCGACCGCCCGTCCGTCCGCACCACAGGAGAACCAATGTTTACTCTCACACTTTTAGCTAGTTTGGGAGCCCAAGAGAAAACTAATTGCACAGGCTGCACATCAATGTTGTGTTGAAACGGAGAGAATTGGTATTTTTTCTACTTGACCTGTAATTGTTTTTTTGTTGTTGTTGTTTTAATGTTTGTTTGTTTTTTGTTTGTTTGTTTGTTCGTTTTTTTTTTTACCAGCTTATCTGAACAAAGGCCTGCCCAGAGGGAATGGGCACGAACGGGACTCATAGGTACTACCACTAAAACACGAACTTTCTTATTATAGGATAAACGAACAGCTACCGAAAACGACCGGTGTTAATTTTTGATAGTAGGCAGCTTTTTCCCTCCCCCCGCCTCTTCTTGCACGTTCGAGGGTTAGAATACTGCATATACGGGTAAAGATAACGAGGATACGTGTGATGAGTTGTGATTGTAGTATAAGTAGCGTTTTAAGTTTCTTTTTGGCTCGACCAAAGTAGCTCCTTTTAATAAATTTTATCTCCGAAGTCGACTGGCATTTACATTCTTAAATTTAGGAAAGCATTAATCGGAACCTGAAATTTATTTTCCAACTCATTTAATGGAACAAAATATACATATAAACATAAATCTATGGAGAGGACAATCTTAGACATTGAATTGTATTTCCTCAGCAGGAAACCAACTGTTTACCGAAGGACTGCGATCTGTTTTGTGCATTTCAGAACCCTCCGGGGGTTTTCGAGGACTTAGAGTATTAGACGAAGCACTGTCCCCTAGATCGAGGGGTGGCGCTGATTTTTTTCTCCTTATTTCTTGATGTGGGATTAACACTGGAGAAATAGCCCTAGGGTTTTTCCAGTTCAAAGCGGGCAGCCCGCTTTTTCTCTTCAAAGGTAGCCATTCGATACTTGTAGATGAATTAGGCCTCGAGTTGGTTTCAGAATCAGGATTAGCTTCACTTTGTAACTCTGCTTTACTGCCACTTTCCTTGAGTACAGAAGGATTTGTACTAAGAGAAAACCTTTTAGAAGGAAGCCAGACGCTGTTTTTGAGAGGGTTAGGCTTTGAATTAGAATTCGCATCGTAAATATTTATGGAAGGTACAGTATCTTGTTTTTCATCTTGCAGGTCAGGTTTGCTGTCACATTCTGATAGCTCTGTAGTGGCTGTCATTGATCGGATTCTTTTAACAGGAGATCCCTCTCTTGAAATATCTAAAAGTTGCGTGACTGAGTTCTCTTCGCTTTGTTGCTTAACATGCTTTCTTCTAAAGGATTTCATCATTAGGAAGATAATAATGGCGGCCACAATAAAGCACAAAAGGAAGGTAACTGACACAGAAATACCAACAGCTGCAGCTACATTGGCACTTGCAGTTCCTTGTCCAGGGGCCGTCGTTCCTACAGAGAATAAAAAAAGTGAAGTCTATTTTTGTCCTTATCTTTTCGAAGTTTCAAGAAGAATGTAAAATAAGAACAAGTAAAACTTGGACTTAGTTTTCTTACTTTTTCAAAACAAACCAACAATTCCAAAGGCTTCGCGCACTGGGAGATTTTTGAAGATGGCGCGAGGGACAACTCTAGTTTTTCTAATCTAGAACTTTTTAGTAAACAGGGGCACCCAACGAGAATATAGTTTAAAACCACTTAAACATAGCATTGTTAAACGTATTTTAGTATTTAAACGGAATTTATGGGCATATTTTTATCCCTTAAAAATTCTTCATCTGTTCGGATTTCCTAGCTGAAAGTCTAGTGATCCGAGAATTATAAGGATCAAAACTTACCTTTTCGAAAATTACAGCCAGAAAAAAGGCTCCCGAAACTCTAGGTGACCCTTTAAGGTAAAAACCGTTAAAAAGGGGCAATTATACCATTTTTTTTAAAGATGTTTGAAAGCCCCAGTAGAGACAGGCAAGCAAGAAATTTCACAACAAATGTCTCGAAAATTCTAGATCTCAAATCGTCTTCCGAACAGATATTTTCCGAAAATTGACGTTGAGTGCCCCTGAGTAATCAGTCAATAGTGTCAATCAACAGTCGTTATAATATTGATCTTTGAAAAGCAAATTAAGCAACAACAATATCGCCCCGTGTAAGGGAATCTGGATTCCGGAATCCGGGAAATTTTTTCTTGTGGAATCCGAGATCTGGGAAAATATTACTCGTGGAATCTAGAATCCTGGGCCCAGTTGTTCGAAGGCCGATTAGCGCTAACCCGGGGTTAAATTTTAATCCGGATTTCTTTATCTTTAGTTCAAAAGCATTTGCTCGGATAATTTTCTGTATTCTTTTTAGAGAATCCAATCATCAAATTGTACACAAAAAGAATTAAACTGAATTTGCTTCTTAAGCGTTCACATCTGAATTCATTTTTTACTAACCCTAGGTTATCTTAACCCAGCTTTGAACAACCCGGCCCTAAGCTTTGGAATCCGGAATACAGCCTAAGGAATCCGGAATCCTACTAACGGTTGTAAAGTCTCTCGTCTAGGGGTGGCGCTGATTTTTTACTCCTTATTTCCTGATGTGGGATTAACATTGGAGAAATAGCCCTAGGGTTTTTCCAGTTCAAAGCAGGTAACCCGCTTTTTCTCTTCAAAGGTAGCCATTCGATACTTGTAGATGAATTAGGCCTCGAGTTGGTTTCAGTTTAGCCAAAACAAAACCTTATACCACAATCCCTAGTCTGGATAAAATCTCTAGCCAACTGATCAGTTTCCTAAAAAAATGATACCCTATTCTAGACCCAAAAGCTCTGTTGTATATACCCTATCCTAGAGTACACTGCTTGAAAACCATACCCTCTACAGCGGCACATACCTATATAGCCCATATATGGCATTCCTCACTAGAGGAGGCCAGCTAGACAGCGAGAGATGACGATCCTAAGTTGTTCTCTTACTTACCATCTGCCTTGGTAAGATTCACGTTTGATTCAACGGTCTTTATTGTAGATGTGCTTGGTGGATTAGTGGTCATTCCCACGTTCAAGGAGAAGGTTTTATGTAACGACTTGAGTGACCAGATTCCAGCTTGATCGCTGACTCCATTCTTCGAAGTAACTGTTATATTATAAAGCACTGAAGATTTTAGCTTAGATATCGTGACCTGAGTCGTAGTAAGATCAATCTGTGATGGCCAGAACTGTACCCCTGAGCATTTTTCTAAGCAGGAACCTTTATTTGAGCATGCGCTGCAACGCACGTGGTACTTGACATCTTCGCGTCCACCGTCAGATACTGGGCGGGACCATGTTACCAGTACAATGCTGTCTGCTACCACTGTTATATTGATGTTTCTTGGCTCTGAAGGAGGAGCTGTCGAAAAAGTTCACAGTCTATTAGCCCGAATCGTTTCTCCAGAGGGGAAACTAAATGTATATTTCTTTCAAAGCGCTTGGGCTTGTCCTGACAGTCACTGGATTGAGAGAACCAAAATTTGTAGGAGAATTTAAAAGTTGAATTTTTATATAAGAATCGAGTGTACTAATTACCTTGTTCAGCCAGAATAAGACATACCACAAGTTATATACATGTACCACTGGAGAGATTTTATTGCTGTGGTCAAGAAACCCCACTGAATCTCAAACAAGCATATTAATTGAACTAAAGATATATATTAAAATTTACAATAATTATTCATTTTTGGATAATAGTTACCTGTACAGCTGTCGTTAGTGAGGTCATGAGGTGCCCTGTAGAACCCCTTTTCGCAAGAGCATGAGCCTTGACCTGGAGTAGATAAGCTACTTGAAGGACACGTGACGCATTGACCGTTGCCAACTGAATCCTTGTAATAACCTGCTTCGCATTCTGTGAAGTTAAAGTGGTAATGGGAATTTTTTATCTTTTAATCTGCTAGTTTATTATTAAATGGAGCCGAATACTGATATCAAGAGTTTTTTCAGATTCGATGAGGTGCTATCGTTTGAGATCTTCCAACTTTTAATTATAAGTAGCCTCACTTTTGACTTTTTGCGCCGTCATTTGTTCGAAGTTAAACGTATTCTTTTATTCTACTACTGACGGTCAATATTGATGAATTATAATAGAAAAGTTGTTGAGCGTTTGACTTAAATGTTAAAGAATTAGTTGGATTTGGCTGCTTAAGAAGGAGGGGTTAATTAAACAAAAAAATGAGTATGATTCTAAAACAGTTTTAATTAACTATAGTAGGATTTAATTAACAATTTTAATTACAGCGGTTACCACTAACACGCGCTCTTTTTAATGCCAAGGGACATAGATTCAAAGAAACGAAATATATCACACCAACAAGGGACAAAGGTTTCCTCTGAACAGATCCTGTTTTCGAAAATGAATTTTGTAACCTGAAGATCTAGCTACTTATGATTCTTCATGTTATCAAATAGAATCCTTAAGCGCGTATTGAGAAAGCTTAATGTGATTGTAACTTACAGTGTTTAAATAAGTCGAAAATTTGAGTTTTCTTCGACAAACACTCAACAAATTCGTACCCCTGGTAATCTTGACTTTAAGCGGTGTCAGATCCTGTAGCAAAATTTTGCAAAAACGACTTAAACGCCGACATTTTCCTCCGAGTGCCTGAGAAACGGAGAAAAAATCTTCTCTGGGCCAACGCGTGAAGACCATGGTAAAGGTCGATTGACGTCCACCAAACCGCAGGTTTGAACCGAAGAAAAAACCCTTTGAGGGCGCGTGTGTGGTAACCGCTGTAACTGTACTCGGAAACGAATAAATAACTTGATTGAACGATGACTCTCTTGTCTGATTAACATTGACTTACACTTGTATAAAAATGGCCATTATCATCTTACCAGCGCAAGTATTGCCAGCTAGCTCGTATCCTGCAGTACAAAGACAAGTGATTTTATCGTCCTTCACCCATTGTCCTGTACTAAGACATGTCGCTGCAAGTAAGCTGTTGCTAGGATACGGGGAGGCTCCACTAGAGCATGTTCCTTGAACTGTCACGTTATGTACGCTGGATTGAGGAGCTGAAGTTTTGTTAAAGAGAACGCCGTGTTTTATCACACTGGGGCAGTACGTGTACGATACAACGACTGATGCGAGTGATAGGCAGGCTCCTGTGTCTTGAAATGCAAGATAAACACCTCGACCATTTACAGCCAGGTTTATGTTTGCCTGGTTCATGCGTGGGACAGCCCCAGGTGTCCAGACATGGGTTGCATTAACAGTTTGCACATGACTGAATTTTCCCGTTAGAACGTCGTTCTTGGTGATTCCACCTATTTCAGGTCCATTTGTTTGTAGTTTAAAAACGGTGAAAGCATGCTTGCAGTAGAGAAACCCCGATGGACATTGTCTGATTGTGAACAAAAGATTTAAATGCACTTCGTTTGCTCCTTGTAGATCAATGTATTCAGAGACAAGCCAGCTATTTGTGTGGTTGTTTAGCGTTTCCGATAAATCGCAAACACTGTAACCTTCACTTTCACCACCACGCGACCACTGTAATAAAATTAAGAGAAAAAAGAGTATTATCATGCTACTCAGTAGGTTTGAATGTTTTCAGTTTGAATGTTTTCAGTATTTCAGTTTTTTACTAAAAGGCAGGCAGGGAAGCTTTTAAACGGAGATGAAAGGAGCGCCATGATTAAGGCCAGCAAAACTTCAACCGTTAAGAGAAATGTCAGCTAATACTGCCATCTTAGTTGTTGTCCGGATATTTTTGCAAATTTATCTTAACCAGATTTATTTTTAAGTAGGTTTTTGAAAACGAAATTACCCTCGCATCGTGTGTCAGTAAAGTATGGCAATACAGTCGACTTCCCATAACTCGAAACCCCCGCTAACTCGAAGTAATTTTCATTTCCCTTCAGAAAATTTCTATATAATTTTAGCCTCGATAACTCGAACCATTTTTTAACCACTTGGCAAGTCAAAAAAGAAATCAACAACAACAACAACAAAAACAAAAACAGTATACTGAAGTCTGCCGAAACACTGAATTTATTTCAAAACAAACTTGTCGAGCTGTGTCAATTCTTTGTCTTTACTCAGAGCCGGTCCCAGTCAAGCTTTGTTGTTCAATCTACTCGGATTCTTGCTGCCCTTGAAGTGATGAAGTGTGTATGGTACTTGCATTCCCTCCCCACCCATTTTCTTATTTCCTTATTTCCGGTCATTTGCTTCGAATTCCCAGTAACTCGAACTTTTTCAATTTCCTTTAAAAGTTTCGAGCTATCGGCAGTCTACTGTATTCTTGGTGTAAGAAGTTACAATAAATACAGTACAGTAACCTTTTAGAAACACCTCTACTCTCAGGTTTCAGAAAATTTCATTCCGAAAAGTTCTTTCATAGAGTCAATCTTTAACTTAATTGTTATAAGGTGGATTCGGAGCCACCTTAAAATTCAAGTTTAAGAGCACTAGCACTTAAGTTGCTCCTTGTTGTTTTGTTTTAGGTAATTCCAAGACGAGCTAAAATCCCATTTCGACAATGCACCAGGGTCCTCTGAGAAGCAAATTTTTTTTAATGGCTTAAACTTCAAGTTTTAGAATCGTTAGTGCCCGTATCAAAAAAGTATGTTTATGACAATTACATGCCCTAGCTGCTCCTCGCACTCACTGTTTCGTTTTGAAAAGCTTACCCTATTTTATTTTTCCGAACGAAATGACAATTTCGTCGATAATTGCTTGCTATAGAACAACTTATTTTAGCTCACATGCTTTTAGCCTCTTTGCGGACGGTTTCCAATACAATCAAACCACTTAAAAACCGGTGCATCTTAATCTAGTTTAAAAGCCGCAAACTGACACTCCCTATATCATTCTGGCGCCAACTATCTTCGACGGTAACAATTATTATAGACACCATGGAGCCATATCCTTTTATTTTCTGTCGAAGTGGCTCAGATGTTATAGATTTGGTTCTTTGTACCCACTATTGTCCTTATACCCTATTTAAGGGGCATTCAAAACTTGTAAGTGGTTTCAATTTGGCTATTTACAATGATTAAAACCTTCATTCAAGCCAATTAGTTAGACGTTGCAGTATATTGGCAACGGAGAGAATACGAGTGCTGAATGAGCATGCGCATTTTAAAGTAAAATACTGTACCTAATATCAAATTTCGTTTCAAACCTAATGGCCAAGTAAAGGAAGATTTTAAATAAACAAACAATAATAATAATAATAATAATAATAATTGAGTGAAGTGTATTATAAATTCCGCAGCTCATACTAAATAGTAGCATTGGCAATGTCTATATCACTTAATAAACTGCCAACACATTATCGAAAACGCTACGAAAACACTGTAAATTCCAACACTGCTGAGTTGAACTTTTAAATGAGACTGTTGAGGTTTGCCGAACAAGACGGCCCCGAAAAATTATATGAAATGTTCATCGGAGGCGCGATTGAATTCAACTCAAACATCGTGGCGATTTTGGATCAACGGAAACGAGCCGATGTCAGTACCAGGGTACTGAAGTCCCTGTGAATCAGACCTCCTGCTGTGAATACAGTGAAACCTCGGAATATGACGCAGTACTAAGGGACTTAAACTCGGCGTTATAGGGGGATACTTTTCCATATGTTTAACTATTACCGGGGTAAACAAAATCGTCCGTTACACCGAGGGCTTCGTCATAAAAAAAAAAAATCAAAAAGGAGCGCGTGAACTCTATTGGAATTATTTTGCCTTATTTTAGGCTATGTAGGGGGTATCGGTTGCCCACAGCACAAAAACGCCGCATTAAAAGGTATATAATGTAAAATTTAATTAAAAGTTTTTGCCCAACTGTAGAACCCAATCAAGGTATGCTTCATTTATCCTAGAATGTAAAATAAATTTTTGGTCTCCGAATTTAACGTGATATGTGCATAGACGTCTTTTATGCTGACAATTGAACTTCAAGGCATCCGTGCTCAAATGAACAACGTTTATGAAAAATTCCCTAGTTCGATATATCTTTTGTTCTGGACAAATTGTTTTCAACTTCCCATTTTGTCGCCTGCAGCTGTAGATTCCTAGATTTGTATGTCATACTAGGCTGTCGTTACTTTTACGTTACCACAACACGTACTATTAAAGACACAGCTGTTTCTTTAATTATAACCGTTGTCGTATATTCAAACTAGAACCTGTACGTGTGCCTGTAAACGTATCAAGTACCAATATATCTAATCCGGTTCTTTGCGTCATAACCATTATCACCGGAGAGAGTTTTTCAGCTACCTTGGTGCCGTCCTAAAGATATCAAATAATTACGGTAACATGATTGAGATGGGCATTGAATGATTCTTTCTTTTGATTCCTTAAATGTGCTTACAGGACTGCACGTGCCTTGTGCAAGGCAAATATTAGCCTTGCAAAGTAATTTGTTGACTTAAAAGCTTATAGTACTGGCACATTACATTCCTATACTCCAATTCTTGGCTCAGTTAAACCATTCTTTATTCGTGGCATTATTGAAGCTGGAGGTTTCGTTTTTCTACATTCAAATACCCTTTTCGATTTCTTTTCTTTGTACTTTGATGCGTACAATATATAAGGCTTTGTAATCAGTTAGCTTCGGGAGTACACGTATTCAGTGACGTTTTGTACAGATAGCTAAGGAATGTAATCGTTATATGTACAGTACAGTGATTAGGAAAACAAGTTTCCAATTCTATGCGTCATCTCTTCCATCTCTTTCGGTATTCAATGTTAAACTTTTTTTGTCTTTTTTTTTCTTATCATATAGTTTCGGTAATCTTGATTACGCTAGAAGTGATAGTTCAAAAAAAAAAAAAAAATGCTTGCATGCCTTGGTAGACAAAATGAGCAAGGCATGCCTTCATCACCATTCAGCTAATACCTATTATACACTGAGGATAACCACCGTACAATGCTTCCAAACTTCATTACCTTTTTCAAAGTACATTTTCGTTTCAATTGTACATATTACAGCTGATGCTTTTGTGAACATTACAATGCTTGAACCGCACGGTTTTCTAACATGATCAAAACGCAACAATAGTACGAGGGTGGGCTTTAATTACTCAGATTAAACATTCGAGGAGGTCTTTTTACCTTTCGTAAGCAATAAGGTGTGCTCAGTGTTGTACGTGTGCACACGTTCAATACACATTTGACAGTGCTTGACGTCGTTTGCAAATAAATGTAAATAAAGCAACCCAAATCATTATGTATTTTTATTATAAAAGTAAACAAATGAGCTTAAATCGGACTGCTTGCTTCCCTTTATAGCTTTACTTAATAATCTTCTCTTTTTGAAGAAGTCCCTACGATCGCATGCAGTAGTTCCACAGGCCAAATATACCATCAAGTATAATGTAAGCTTATTTCTTCAGTTACGGTTTGTTATGATTTTATTCTATACTGCGAAATCCTTGATGAATTCATGCCGTGTTGACATTTTGTTGTATCGCTCAATGTGAACAAAATATTAATGTCGTTTTCTTGCCTTTGTGATGTCCAGTCACGCTTATAATTTTTTTATTGAAATGTTCTACACAATCTATTGGTATGTATAATAAATAACTTAAATCTGCTGAGAATATATATTAAGCCCTTAAACCTGGCGTTTACTCCAGCGATACTATATCAGTGACCTATAAGGCAATATTGTTTTAAAGTAAATAATTAGCCATATTAAAGCGATATTGAAAATCTCTATAAATCTCAGGACATTTCACGGTCATCACAAAACTTCAAAAGCTACTACAAAGGCAGTCGAACTAATGTAAATTTCCCGTCTTACAGTTGTGTGGTTGGTGGGCCGCCAAATGTCGTTGCTAAGAAGTAATTCTAGCTTGAACTTCATACTGACGGAAACAACGCTTTACTAAAAAAAAAAAAAAAAAAAACAATCAAATTTCCCTCTATTTGTCTTCCTGGTGTTTACCTTGCAAAATTTTCATGTTTTCCCCCCTACATATTCTTACTATTTTTTTAGTATATTGGAAAAAAATAAAGGTCGAAAAAATTATCTGCCAGTGCATATTAATATATTTGATTTCTGTTGGTTTGATAAGCATCACAAGACTGACAAAAACTAGATCGTAAGATCAAAGTTGCGAATCGGACATGACCTTCTCTGGGCAACACACTAAGTGACCTGCTTGTAGTTTTAAGGCCTTTATTTCTTTTCGTCTTAACGTGCAAAACACTTACCCCACTCCACGGTCCAAACTCGAGACGTGTTAGCCAGTGCCACGACGAATTTTGGTTCCTGTCCAGGAGTATTTCTAAAACACGAAATCGCCAAGTAAGGAAGGATATAACACTAGTCACTGAGTGACCAATTTTTAGAGCCAATAGTCATTATTTAAATGAAATAATACGTACCGGTCTCGCAGCTGACTTTCAATTTTGAGCGGTTGAGTAAAGCTATAAAGGCTACTCCAAGAAATGCTTGACACCATGTTATTCTCATTCTAGCTATTTTAGCACGTACAAGTCAAAAGGTTTGGCGGTTTCTATCAACTCAAGCACAAAGTTATAATATCGCATTTAATTGTCCTGAGCACGAAACGAAGTCAGACGGTCTTGGGAAACTGTACGATTTGTCGCTGACTTGAAGAGTAAGTAGAAATCGCACGGAGTGACAGTAATGTCATACACGCCACTAAAACTGAAAGGCCTTGCTTTACGTACTTTTCTTTTGTAATTAAGAATTATGCAAATTAAATCCGCAAGGACTGCCTAGTAATAAAGGACGTCAGTGAATGAATTGTTTGGAGTGATGTCATTGGTGAGGTTGGTTGGTTAGTGGTGCGTTAAACAGGTGATAAAAGCCGTATTGCACGTTCTGGATGTAATCAAACCAGAAACGGTCCGTGGTTGGTTTGATCAATGAATAATACCAAACTGAAATTGTACGTGCCGTTACTACAAAGTCTGAAGCGAAAAGCCCAACACCATTTGGTACCTTTTTTAAGCGAGGTTCTGATACGTCGTGGTCTCTCGGGAATAGACTATTTTAAAAGACAGGTACTGTTAATCCCTGGATTAATCAGCTGGTAGAAGGATATCATTTAAGAATACGTAAGTAATTTAACGAATTCAAAGCCATTATAATGGGTTAGCAGAGGTTAATATAACGAAACGTACAGAATTATGCTGGTAATCAATTAGCCCATCTCTTTGACAAAAAATATTTTTCTATCGTGTAACTGTGTCGGCCTGAAAATCACTTGATATTCTTACTTTGTTTGTAACATTCTATTCGAATAAAATATTTTAAAATACCTCAAAGGAACCTTGAAGGGAATAAGCAATGTTATCATTTAATTGTCGTGGATGGCGGATAAAAGGACAATGACTTAGTTTACCTACTTCTGCAGCGAAAAGACACATTGAGTCATTTATAGTTACTGGTCGTTTAAGCTACTAATCACTGTATAAATGGAGGAAGTCAACCTTTCAGTTAAGATAAGAACTTAGTTTCTTTGATCTTTGGTGCTACATGAAAAGTTTGATTTCCTTCTTTATTTTATTATTATTGTTTTTTTACAATTAATATGCATATACTGTTTTTAAAAAGCATTCACTAGCCAAAGAGCAAATTTACGAAAGAAAAAAAAAGGATCTTGCATTGGTAGTTATCGCTGTAAACCTCTCAGTTCGAAACCGTTAAATACGTCTTACTGGTGAATCAAAATACAAACAATAAGTAAAGGACTCAGCAATACTACACACCAAATAATATTTAATGACATAATACACTTCAAAAGGCCAGTCAATAGTTGGTGAATCTGACTTACGCCTCAAGGACTAGTGGTGAAAATATGACTTACATAAAGACTGTACAATAGGCAAATTCCAAACTTTGCCTAAGATGTTGCAAATGACTACTAATGACGTTGCTGTCTGAACTATTTTCCTTTAGACGTTTCGGATAAAAGCAATTGATTCTTTTGCTCGTATTTCTTAACGCTGTCTTTAAACTTCTGTGTTCACCAGTCAAGTTACTTCAGGTTTTTCTGCCATGCAAAGAAATAGATCGCAGCTAAAAAATCAAAGTTGTTTTGTATTAGGATTCCCTGATTTATTATGAGTTTTACTCATTGAATTTTCTGGGTTGCCTTATCTGAGTGAAATATTTTCGTTGTAATGTGTTAAGACCTGCTATTAGTTATAAACGAGGATGAGTTTAGACGCCTTACATGTATGTTCATATGTAGGAGATACATGGAATTTCTTGATTAACAATTGCGGAGCCAAGTGACTGATCTTTTTAGTGTCCGTAAAAAAAAGAAAAAAAAAATGGGTACAGATAAAAGATAAAATAATAATGGCCAAACGAAAAGACGAAGAAAAAAAAAAAAGGAAAAAACAATAAAATAGAATATGAATAAAAGGATTAATTATTCTCCGTCGTAATGTAAAAGAGGTTCTAGGAAACGGAGGGTTATAAAAACGACGGTTGTGGAGTTTCTCGAAAATTTTTAGCAGAGTCAAAAAGAATATAGCTTGTTTGAAAATGTTGACGTAATGTATAGCTATTGAAAGGAAGTAATAAGAAGTTACAGCGCCGAAAATTGCAAACATCTGGCAAACAGCACGTCCAAAAATCGCGAAAACGATGCTAGTACCGCTGTTGTTGTCGTAAATATTGGCTAATCGTTTGACGCGCTTGCATTTTTATTTTCTTAATGAGACAAAAGTTTAGTTTGTTGTTGTTGTTGTTGTCATATTATTGCCTTTGCCGTCAATGCAGAGAGAGGTATTACATGTCGATCTAGGTTACAGTTTCTCTTTTCCCACGCGTGGCCTTCACGCTTGTTCACATGATTCGTTTGCATTATTATTCCTCTTTTACAACTATATGTGTAATCAAATGGTGGCAAGAGGAAACGGCCTGGGAAATTATTAGGATTTAAACAAAACGCGCTTGAAATTATTCCCTAATTTTACGATGATACTTTCTAATAGGGACTTTAAGATCCAACGACACGACAGCAACGAGAACGTCGCCTAAAATGTGAATTTCCGTTCCTTCAGTCTCAATAGCGGTTATTCCTACCTACTTACTGTGCCAAATGTAGGCGAACCAAACCTGAAGCTGAATTTCAAGGGACCATAGCAAAGTTTAGAAAGAGAAATAAAATTTCGTCCTTGCCTGTTTACATCCTCCATAAAACGCAAAATTAGGCATTTTCACGTCGCAGTCGTGCAAAAACAGGAAAGAAATGTACAAAAAAAGAGTTATGCACGTGCAAAGTTGTTGTTTTGCTTATTAAACCAATTGTTTTTTTGACGTTCTCGTTGCCGTCCGCGCTGTTGGATCTTAAAGTCCCTAATATCATGGGAGACGAAATCGTTAGCAATCGTGATTTTTGACATGTCTATATATCCTAGGCTCGATTACCGGCCGCTGTTCGGAAATCGAGCCTATATATATATATCCTGGATCGTATCGATCGAAAGAAATATTAAGTCCACTCTATGAAGTGTTTTTTCGCGTGATTAGGTTTTCTAAAGAGTCCTCTTATGCCCTGCCCTCTTCATTCATGACATTTAAAAAAAAAACAAAATGCCATTTTAAAACTTCGTCGCCATCTTGAGACTAAGAAGTACGGAAGGTTGCCATGACAATTTTGTAATTTCACATGTGAAATTACAAATTAACTCTGAAATTTCGCGCCAAAAATTAAGAAGTAATTCTTCAAACCAATGATACTAATTTATTTAGTTGATTTTATTTTATTTGCTCATTTTTCTTTTTCAATCTGAAGACCAATGGACTGAAGGGTAACACCCACTTTAAATCAGTGACCGTAAATGACACCTGGTAATTGATTCTTTCTCTCAGTCAGTTATTACTAAGCTCATCCTTGCTAAATATCTATTTTTAATAAAATCTAACTAGTGTTCTATTATCAATGCTGCGTTCTGATTGGTTGAGCTACTACTAGGCTATCTGTTATAGCCCAGTAGTAGCGAAAAGCGTCGGCTTTGAGAACCAAAACAATGGCGGTTGAATTACGTTTTGCCAGCTGAAGGTGATTTGTCTCGATATTTCTTACCAACTTCTTGGATTCTACTATATTTTTCGAGGAATAATTGTTAAATATTCTAATTCGCTACTCAACTCAAACGAATATAGAAAATTTATTATGTAATAAGCAACCACAATTGGGGTGTGTCACACGAGCCGGGTGCGACCCTCTTTATTTTGCCTTCATCAACAAAATGGATGGGAATGATTTAACAAACAGAATCAAAACTTGGAAATGTAAAAAACACAGCAAGAAAAGAACCCTAAAAAACGATCTAAACTATGCTCGTGTAACAATGATACCGTAAAAGTGCTAAACCTTTCATATAGCAGCATATAAGGACTACGTCTAAGAGTAAGAGAAACTGATAAGCCCTAGCCACTGCTTCGTAGGTACGGTTGTAGGACGCGAATGAATATATGACAACAACTCAAATATGTATAGCCTATCGCCAATGAAGCAATTGTAACAGCATACCAATGTAACAACCTGAAAGAAAGGGTCACATAACCCATGATAAATACATTTAACCACTTGGGCTTGCACGTTTTCGTAAGGGGTTTTAGGAGGCTTATAAACGGATGGGGGCTGATAACCAGAGTAGAGAAAGTACTTTGAAAGAAGCTATGACTACTGATCAAAATACGTTTTGACTTATTATTGGTATGGGGGGGGGGTGGGGGTGCTTATTAGCCTGGGGGACGGGTTTATACGCCGCAGTTTACGATTTTTCATCACAGCAAAAGGCCCGTCCGTTACTTAATGCCGGATGAATTATAATTATGATTAACAACAAGGCAACCCTGTCAAAATCAATCAAAATCAATGTCAAATATAATTAAAATCAAGTTGCCTGGAAAGGAAAGAATTTAAAGGGTACATAATCTATTTGCTAAAGGTCTTCATGTCATACAAAAACAAAAGATTTTGTTTACACAACACTTGAACGGTATATAATTCTACTGTT